CAATCAATCGATCAATCAATCAACCAACCAATCAATCAATCAACCAATCAATCATTCAATCAATCGATCAATGAATCAACAATCATTCAATCAATTAATCAATCAAATACATCAATGGTTTCATTGACTGAATGGTTGATTGGTCGAATGATTGAATGATTGAGTGATTGATTGACCGATCAATCACTCAATGAATGTTTGACTGACTGCAAAAACAGGCATTCGTTGATTTATGGATCATTTGAATGATGGGTTGATTGATTGATTGATTTGTTGATCGCTTGTTCATTGACTGTTCCTGACTTCATGTTTCTCTGAATCTTGACACTGTGCAGACCCCGACATTCGCAATCAACGAGCGGCGGTGATGATGTCCCCACTCGCTCGCCGCCGTGTGTGTCATCTCCACAGGGGACACCCTTTGGTCGTTTGAGTGTCGATCGCTCTCCGAGTGCTGCACTGGGCTTGTTGGGAGGATCACCGCTTAGCGGTGGTCCGGACGTGCGGACTGGGAAAAGGCGCCGTGGTGACGTTTCACCTTCGACATCTGGCATCGTTGCACATGGCCTGACGCACCGTGCATCTTTCCCGGGTTTATTGGGGGCTTCTCCACCAGCTGTGCCGGCGGTTCGTAATGCTATTGCGTATGCAGGTGTGCTTGGTGCTCCGTTGCTACCGTCCCCGCTCCTCCCTAGACGGTTGGACTACGCGTCCATGGTTCCTCCAACACCAGTTTGGTCACATGCAGTGCCCCCGTCATGTCCTCGTGGACGCTCTTCTGTCGACGGAGGTCGCAGCGACGTCCACCTTGAGCCAGGTTCGCGTTCCAGTAACGTTGGTTTGGCGGCCGCTTCATTCGGAGTTCCGCCCGAGTCTCCCTCGGTCGCTTCTAAACAGACACCTCGTTTTGATGATGACGATAGCGTTGCCGCAGTTGCTGGCACGCCATCTTCGGCCGCCAACAACATTGTGCGAGTGTGTGTGAGGGACGTGTGTCGGAGGCGGTTGTACGCTCTCCGTGATGCTATGGCCAGTGTGGGTGACAATCGCGGACCAGTCAGCGACGTCGTTGACCGGCCACTACACTGGTCGTTGCCAGCTATACGGGCGGAGTTCGGTGCCAGTGTAGCAACGACAATTTCTTCAACGTTGCCGTCCCGCGTGTGTGGGAAGGATTTCCAGTTGCATTATTTGCCTGGTGATTCTGGTGGTGACTATGTTCAGGGGGGTTCGCATGGTTCGGGGAGCGCCACGTTGGGGGGGTCACAGGACGGTTCGCAGAACTCGTTCCCGTCCTCACGTCGTGTATCGCAGCGCAGTGACAGAGGGCGTGGTCGACCCCGCAGTGCGGGTCGCTCACAGTCGATGCATGTACGGCCCCAGACGTGGTCGAACAGCTGGGAGGGAGTTGACCAGTGTGGTCCTTGACCAGACCGTGATGGTGTTGAGGAGGCGATGGCACTGTGAACTGGACCCGAAGCGCCGGATGTTGTGTTTCTCGAGCCGGTCAAGCTACTTCAATTGCTGGCCTTGTTTCATTTGTATTGCACGTGGCATGGTGGCTCGTGTCGTGTGAACGTGGACTCTGTCTCCTATCGTGCACAACTCTGTCGGCTGACGTTTGTATGCGATCGCCGATGCAAATGGATGTGGCACTCCGCACTTTTGACCACCACCGTTTATGAGTGTCGATTACAGCAGCAACTATATCATGCGACGGTGACCGCTGTCCTGACCTACACGCTCCTCAACAACTTCTGCGTTGCGTTGGAGTTGTGCTCGGTGCACAAACCCACGTTCTACAACTTCATGCACGGACAGGGGGACGACGCGAGGGGTGGAATGGTAAGGTCGTGCGGCAGGGCCTCAGATATTGCGAGCTTGCCATTGAAACTGTGATGCGACGTGGCGAGCCTGTTACATTGATTGTCGATGGTCGATATGACTCTGCCAGAGGGGCGCAGCATTGCACTGTCACTGCAATGGAGTACGGGACTCGGCTTGTTGTCGGTGTTATGACTCTCCGTCCGAAGACCGAAGGCAAGGCCTCAAGTGCGCTTGAGGTGCCAGCCGTCGTCCGACTGCTGCGAGGGTTGCTGGAAAAGGGGTTGAAGATCTGGTGCATGGTGTCCGATGATTGTGCCGCGTTGGGACCGCAGTTGCGAGCTTTGAACATCGATTGGCAGAAGGATTGCCATCACAAAATTAAAAACATTCACAAGCATTTCCGGAGTATGCTGCAACTGAAGGAGGCGAAGAAAGTGAGTAACCCGCACGAGTGTGTGTCCGAGGCGCAGTTCATGCAGTTCACGAAGAAACAGCTGGTGGAGGCCTTGTATGACCGTTTCGGACTCGGTGTCCTCACTGCTGCAGAAGAGCGGATGAAGAAATCGGATTTCGTCGGTGTCGTAATGAAGAAGATGTGTCCCTTCGGGTCAAGGACGAACGTCCAAGAGTTGACTGCTGATCCTAACGGCGTGACTGAGTCTCATGCGCATGAGGTCGGCATGTGGTTCTTCCGCGCTTGTCAGTTATGCAAGGAGGAGGGTGGAGACGCTCGCAGTTTGCACCGTGACATCATGCTCATCGCCGATCATTGGGCTGGTGATCATTCGGGGTGTGTCGATGGCAGGGAGGTTATGTGCGAGAAGGCCGGTGGGCCTACACGATTGCCTTTGTATAGGCGCACGGACAGGGTGTACGGACTCGTTCAACATGTTATGGGGAAACAATGCAGCACTAATATCACGACGTACTACGTTGAGTTTCGACACACATCGCCAGTGGAGACTTTTCAAGGCACCATCATCATCTACGCGAAGAAGTCTGTGCATTTCGAGAAGTCTTACTCTTCGCGTGTGGCGATCGCAGTGATTCGGTGGAACAGTCATTGCTGGCGCGCCCCGGTCGGCTATCGTGCTCACATACCCGCAGGCACTTCGATACGTCCGAGACCCGCCTTTCGTCGACAGAACGAGGATGCAGACAACTCTTGGATGCACAGGTTGGCGGCGTTCGTGTTCGGTTTGTCTCGTGTTTCGGACTGGGCTCGAAAGCTTCTGCAGCAGGAGGATTGTCCTTATGGAGCCGGGCCCGGATCGTCACTGCTTCCATTGCCACGCGATCTGTTTGTCGCGGGTGGGGCCGACCCAGTGGACGTCGTTGATGCTTCCTCCGGATCTGACCATGATGTCGCGGGGGACAGCCATATTTTCATTGTCAGTGGTGAGGTGGAGGATGTGGTGACTGCATGCCATGATTCCGACCCGGCATCGAGCTCCGAATCTGAGGGTGACGATATAGAGTTGTTCGGTGTTTGACTGCTTGAATGCCTTTGTCGTTCACATGGCTTTCTTCTGCAGACTAACTGCGAGGCTGTACTATAACTACTAGGGTTATATTCGTAATTTTGTTGTTAGGGACTGATCGTGTGGACCGTCGATAGGCAGGGACATCACTGCAATTTCGCAATCCCATTCCTGCTGTCGCATACCCAGTCTTCCCCATTTTCGTAGAGGCCGTAAAGGCCCACAGTGGGTATAGCCCGTAGCTGGGTAAGGGCGTAGAGGCCAAAAAATGATATACAATATTGGTGGTCCGTAGGTTAGGTCCTGTAGGGTCAAGTACGTCTGTACCGATTCTATGAATCGAACAGGCGCAGTAGGTTTATGACTTATGGCTTTTCATTTTAGCGTCACTGCGTTCTGAGCCAAGCAAGTTTTTTGGCGGTGATTGTCTATAGGCGCCATCCTGAGACCTTCAGCGAGAGCAGCAACCATAGCCAGCGTCTGAGAGGTTGCCATAGTTGGGGAGTTCTCTGCGCATCTACCCCTGCGGGTGTCAGCGAGTGGAAGGGCTATTCTGAGACTCATCACTGCGTGTTCGTGTGCGGTCCAGGGCCGCCCATCTCCATTCGGGCTAGGTGTGGCAGCCATAGCTGCTTTCTTCTTCGTCAGAGTTACTCATCGACATTGCAGACTTCATTGCGATCCTGGTTCTTCATCTTGATGGTTGGTTTAGGCCTCTGGGAGGCTGTTTCTGTGCGACGCTACTAACTGGGTGTAGGATAGAGGGTTGTCTGTGAGTTCTGACTGTGGCGAGACACTGAGATAAACTCTGTAACGATTATTGGTTTGAGTTGGCTCATCATCAGTGTAATTCCAATTGTGATGTTCGCAGGTTCTTTCTTGTGATTGGTTGCTGGGAGTTTGTCAGAGAGTGAGAAACACTGTGTGTCTTTTCCCCTTCTATGCATGGTTGTATTCCGCTGCTCATATTTGTCTGTGTGTAGTTGGACTGTGTCTACTCTCCCCCTTATCTGGTTCATGTATGGGCGTGTGTTAGATTCTGTGTGTGTGTGTGAGTGACGACAAGTTTGTCAGACAACCAAGTTCATAATATATATATATATGACCAATGTCGAGTTGCACTTGCATCCAATAATACAATGCCATACAATTGCAAAAAGAAATAAATGAACTTGAAATGAGAGATCGAGGATTATACAGCCAAACTTGTATCGCTCATCTCTCTCTCTCTCTCTCTCTCTCTCTCTCTCTCTCTCTCTCTCTCTCTCTCTCTCTCTCTCTCTCTCTCTCT